TCTTTCATTTGACCAGGACCGCCGAAAATATTGGTTTCAAGTTGCTCATCCATTGGATGAGCTTCGATATAGGTCAATTGAATCTTTGCAATTTTAGTCCAACATTCACCGCAATTCCAATCCTTTGGAATTTCTTTGGTGGATCCATCGGGTAGGAATAAGGTCTTCCCATCAAGAGATATGGCAACGTTTGTATCTCCATTACTTTCTTTATTGACGAATTCAAACAATTTAGTGAACATTTCGATGAAACAAAATTCTTATTAAAAAAAAAAAAAAAGTTCCAAAATATCGTTAGCCCTCGTAATAATTTCAACGTTATACGTATATTTATTTGTTTAAAGTATTTCTACGTACCTCCTTTATCGTTCTTGAGACAAGAGACTTCGTGATATGGAATACCACCATAATAATTGAGAAATGTACCGTAAGCCATCAACGAATTGAAATCAAGCGTTCTGGGATCAGCGCTTAAATCAAAAGGAGCCGACAATTCAGTGGCACAATTCGTCTTGAGATTTTTCAAGAGTAGTTCAATTTCTGATGGATCACATGTATACTCTATTGCGCAAAACTTATCCATTGCTGACTTAAAAGGTTTGAGATCGTCGGAAATGTTAAACGCGGAGAATTCATAACCAGCTTTTTCGTACTCTTCATGAATAACGTGGTCAAAATTAATTCTTGTTGGACATTTAGATGAAGGGGTGATACCGGTTAAAAATGATAAGTCGCCATCATCATATACCGTTTTTTGGCAAACGTTACACTCGGTCGCATTAAAGGTTTCTTCGCAAGATTTCTGAGCGAGGGTTACAAAAGGAATTACGGTTGCCAATAACCAAAGAATCAAGGTAATTTTTTTATACATCGTTGAAAAATAAAGGTTTCTTAATAAAAAAAAACAAAGAAATTTGTTATTTAGATTCAACTTTTTGGTGAAGAATTCTCAGAATTTTTCGCACCGTTAAATACTTAAATTTTTTTTTTCGAAATTAGATTTCCCACTTTATCCGTTTCGTAAACAAAGCCCAACCAATGCGAAAATACTTACCTTCAAAGGAACCTTACAAACTAAATTCATTCCGACTTACAAGCCCATCATCATTATAAGCCGCCGATCACATAGCCCTGATGACTTGAGGCTTTCTTTCGCTTCGAGGGGATCTTTTTTTTTTTTTTTGATTTCCAAAGGCTATGCTGCGGCGGTTCACCATAAACCATAAGGCTATGATCTTACATTTCTTGATTGAAATTGATTTTTCATTATAAATTTTGGATGGATTTGGAATTTAACAAATATAGTAATAAACCTGTTCGGTTTCGAGAACAATGATAAAAAAAAGATTGATGGATTTAACCAAAAAGTTTATGTTTCTTTTCATGATATAGAATTAATAAAATAAGAATCTTCAATGTGTTCAATCCTTATTGTAAAAAGTGTTAATTAAATTAGTAAATTAAAAAGGAATTCAATGATGTTTACGCAAGCCATAAACGAAAATTGCTTGATAAGAAGAAGTGTTCGAAGAGATGTTACCCTTCCTTAGGTATTAACTTTTATTGTATAATATAAAAATTAATAAGCCAGCCCCAAATAAGGTCCATCCATTTTACTATTAGCTTTTCGCATGACCCTCCGGCTGGAAAAAGGAATGATCTACGTGATCTTTAAGTAAAGCACAATCCGAAACTAGTTTATAAATTCTTAATTAGGTAGTCTGTTGAAACTAGTTTCGAAACTAATCACATAATAATTGTCAGCTGATTTACGACATTGTTATATAATTTTTTATTTAAAGACGTTGTAAATTTAACGACAACGTTTACTATTTATAACATCATGGTTGATAATATACAAACAGAATCATCTTAACCTCCAAATAAAAAACATAAAAATTCTGATCCAATACATTGTTACGTTGGAAAAAATCAACTGGAATTAGTACAATTAAACAACATTTTGCTAAATATCATGAAAATATTTATAATGAATTAAAACAAACTCTTTATATTGCCGAACCTTATAAATTCAATGACCCGAAAATGTTACGCGAATTAACACTACTTATTAAGTGGATTATTGTAACCAACAACCATTTATGGGGGTCGTCTAAAGCGGAGTAGTATCACGTGAAAATAAAGCGTACGATGATTGGTTAGAGGTAATGGCAAATGCTATTGGTCAAAAAATGATCAAAGTTTTCGATCAAAATTTTTTTTTTTAAAAAAAAATAAACAATATATTAGAAGATTTTATGAAGTATCGTAGTTCTTTTAGGGTCAGCTATGTCAAACTTCAATTTATATATTGTTTTTACTGGTCTTTAAAAAAGCCATTATAAAAAATTATCAAAGCAACACGCTCTTTTCTTAAAATTTTCTTAAAATTTTGACAAAAACAGTAATCTTTCTCAACTAAAATAAGTCAAGTCGAAAGAAAACATTATTTCTAGTAATTTAGATTATATCAGAAATGTAAGTAATGAAAAAATATTTTGAGGGTTGAAGGAGATTTTAAAAAAAATTTTTTTTAATTTTAAAAAAAAATCAGACAAAATTATGAACTTTACCATCCCTTCAACAGTTATATCTTCCTTGGATAACCCTATAGATGAAAGACAAAATCTTCTTTTTAACATAAATAATACTTTAGAAATTCCAATTGAAGATTTTGATAATAATTGGTGGCCTTTAGTTACAAATGCTTGGACTCAATGGAATTCATGGAAACTTGTTAATGGTGATTCTTGGAAGGTCTTTGTATGTCGATTTATGAAACATCAAGAATCAAGTATATGATAAAAAGAAAATATTTTAAATAATAAATGAAGAAAAACAGCAATTCAGCCTTCAGATATTTGTCAAGCAAAAATTAAAATTACACACCTAATTTCTTTAAAAATTGTTAGAATTAAACGATATAAAAATTCACCCTATCACACATATGATTTAAGAGATAATAATAGAATAAAACATTTACAAGCTATTCAAACTTAGTTGAAAAAGAGGCAATAAAAAATTATTCACCACCAGCAATTACTGCTGCTGTTAAGGAATATGCAACAAAAAAATTAGAACTTAGTTCAAGTATATATAATTTAAAATAAAAAGAAGTAGCAAATATAAAATATAAAATTCATGGACCTATGAAAGCCCATCTTATTGGTAATCATGATTTAAAAATAGATATTATAGAAAAAAATCAAAGATATCATGTTAAAAGCTATCATATTCCAACATCTACTAAAGGTATAGTATTTGCTTACCCTAAATAACTTAAAAACTTTAACATTGTAAAGATGGTCACTGCAATTAAAAAAATGATGCAATTGAGTTACAACTTATATCGCAATTAAATTTTCTTATGGCGCAATTAAGTTGCAACTCAATTGAAATTTGAAAATAATTATGGGAATTATCTTTAATTATGAGCATGACAGCATTTACCTTTACTTTTACAAGTTACTTCTATAAATCCACTAGAATCCTATTAATGTAAATTAAAAAGAGAAACGTCTTTATCATAATTACTTTATTTTTATTTTTTACATATTTTTTAATTATTACATTTTTTTTATAATAAGCACTATTCATAAAATTATTGCTCTTGATTTGAAAAAATAATCAGATTCTGAAAAAGTTACCTTTGATTTTCATATTAAGAAAATCTTAACTTTTGGCATAGATAATGATATTCTTAAAGAAATTTGAAAGTTTTCTTATCCTTTTCAGCAATTACTTGTCAAAGAAGCTTATGCAATTATAAATAGACTAGAGAAAGGAAAATATGCATCTAGGTTAATATTACTTAATTATTATTATTTATTTTGAAATTAATATTTGTTACTATGTAAACATATTTTTCATGAAAATATGTATGGTAGTATAAAATTATTGACTGATGAAGTTTAGGAAAAATCTCAAGAAATGTTTGAGGAAAGTAGATTTGAAATATATGAACATTATAAATTAGTAGTGATTTTTGAGTAAACAGAATAACAAAAAAAAATAGAAAGCTAAAAACTAACTATTAATAAGTTAACTGAAAGGATTCGTGATAAATATTGGCAGGTTGAAAAAAGGGTAATGTTGAATAAACAGAAACATATATAAATATGCTAAAAACATCTTTAAATTTGATTATTATACAATTTAAATAAATAAAAAAGTATCAATAGTTATTAAAATAAGAATATCCAAGCTGTTTTTTTTTTTTTTAAAAAAAAAAATTTTGATCAAAAATTTTGATCATTTTATGATCAATAGCATTTTCCAATCATTGTATGCTTTATTTTTATATGATACTACTCCGCTTTAGATAACCTCCATTTATGGTAGTTAAAGATCTTAATTTTTGCGAATTGTTAAAAGAATTTAATGAGCGATATAAATTACCAACTTGTCAAACAATATCAAATCAAATTCAAATAATGTATGAAAGACAATATTTATTTATAAGTAATATTTTAAGTAATATGATACAAAAAATGGTCATTACAACTGACATGTAAACTGCTTGCAATAATTTTAAATATTCATCCATTACACTTCATTGAATTGATGATAATTGGATATGTATAAATTGCTTCTTAATATTATTCCTATTTATGCAAGCCATAAAGGATAATATTACAAATAAAATATTAGAAGTTATTAAATTTTATGGAATTGGTGAAAATATTTTTGCAGCAACAACTGATAATGGATCTAATATGATCACTTATGCCAATCATTTTCAATATCTTCTTAAAGATACTTTTAATAATGATGATTTTCAACATCATTGTTGTGCTACTCATATTTTAAATTTAATTGTTATAGAAGGATTAAAATTTGTTAAAACTGCAATTATAAAAACAAGAGCATTTGCATCAACTATTGTAATTCATAACCAATTTTTGAAGAGCTAAAAAAGATATTTATTATGAAAAATAAACCATTTTTTGTACCTTATCTTGATATTCCAATTAAATGGAACAGTACATTTTTTAATTGAAAAATTAGGAAAAATTAGAGTAATGATTGATATTCTTGTTATATCTAATCATTCTTTAAAAGAAAATTATCTAACTGAATCTGATTAAGTTAAACTTGATGTAAATTGTTTGTTATTTTTTTTAGTATTGCTTTTCTTGATTTTCAATTAAATTTCATATATTTATTATATAAAATATAAGTAATTTGGGTTCTTTTTAAACCTATTTATAAAGTTACTATTATGTTTTCATCATTAAGTTATCTAACTTTAGGTGATCTTTATTTAGCTTTTACAATGATTATTAAATTTCTTGAAAATGTAATTAATGATACAATAGAAGAAACTACTCAAAAAATTATTGCAACTGCAATATAATTATATAATGAAGAGGAATATTAAGATATTAATAATCTTTATATTATTCACTCTATGTATGTCTACTCTCAGTTTTTGCATAATTCTTTCTATTTCTAAATGTTCTGTAATATCTCAGTTATTTTGGTTGTTCATCTAAAAAAATTGAAGTTTAAACAGATGGTATATGTAAATATAACCTTATTCATGAAAATGAGTATACATATTTTAAAAAAAGATTGTTAAAGAAAAAAAAAAGAAGATGTATTTGATTTTAAAGCATAATGGAAGTTTATTTTTTTTATTCTAATTAGCGTAATCAGGTGATTAATTGATCAATTAAAATTACAAAAGCAAATGTTTTCATAACATCAAAAATTTTAATAAATACATATAGTCATTTCAAGTGATAATTATATTCTCCTTGTTCTTTGAGTTTTCAAGATCTGAACATTTAACTTTTCTCCTTCTATTTGATATTATTGACACATTATTCATATTAGATAAAAATGTAAAATTAGGTCCAGTTCATTTTA